GATTTGTAAGGTAGAATTGGGGTCATGATAATGGGGGGGTGGGGGGGTGGGGAGGAAACATTAAAGAACTAGAGGAAAGTTATGCATTTCATTGGTCCTGTACTGGCTGGCTCCTCTCTTCCTTGTGACCCTTTTGTGAGCAAAGTTGTAATGCCAGTGAGAAATGCTGAGTAGGATTATTATCAGGACATGTTACAAAGTTCTTTCAGATATGCTAACAAAAGCCCAGGGTGCATCCCACTCCACTGTAGACATTCAGCTCAAGCTCCTTGGGTTGGCAAACCCCACTCCCTGATTTAAGTGCCCCGAGGGACCCCCCTCCTGCACAATAGAACTCAGCTTTACTTGCTCGTGGCTTGGGAAGGCCACCCCTCTGGTCCGTGCTCTGGTTTCTGGTTCTGATGGTACAGCTATCTTCTGGCTCCAAGTGGTTCGTGCAGGTATCTCGGGGTCCAGAGGACTCACTCCACTCCTGTTCACAGTTACTCGCAGGTAAATTCTATCAGTATCTTCCCCCACCTTCTTACCAGACCCATGCAGGAAAAGGTTGTTTGGTGGGAGTTACAGACTTTGGCTAGAAAGAGCCCATTAAACAATTCCACGCTTCTGCAATATGTTTCCAAAAGTTCATGAAAAAATGGAATTGCAAGATAATGGAATTTCCCCCAAAACTGTGAAACACAATATTTGCTTTGCTGTCCACTTTTGGCCTTGGTTGCTTTTTTTTTTAAAAAACAAAACAATCTTTAAATATATGTTTATATAAACACTTTTTAGTTTGGTCATTAAAAGGAATGAAGTACTGACACATGCTGTAACCCGAAAACATGCTGAGTAAAGGAGATCAGTTTGAGAATAGCACATATTGTACAGTTCCAGTCATAGGAAGTGCCCGGAATAGGTGCATGGCTGGAGAGAGGAAGCCGGTTAGGGATTGCCTCGGTCTCGGGCGGTGACTGCTACAGCATATACAGTTTCTTTTGGGGCAGTGATGAAATTGATAGCATAATCAGTTGTGGTGACGTTTGCTGCTTTTTCTGTGAATATAATAAAAGCATTGAATTGAACACTTTAAATGAGTGCATTGTATAGTGTGTGAACTATATCTCAGTAAAGCTATTTCTTACAAAACAGCAAAGCATCCTTAGCTTGTAGCCCATATGGAAAACAAGCTTTGAGTGGCCTTTGGCCCGTCTGCAGACCTCTGATTTATATTGCTACTTTTACTCCCCTCAACTCCAGATTATTTTGAAGCTAATAATATATTTGATATTGAGACATATTTGCTTTGTAACATTGTAGTGACTCTTCTGGTTGATGCCTGTAAGGCTTGAAGAGATAGGAGTACCTTGTGATTGGACCCAAGTAGACTGAGGTTCTTGAAACTTGTGATAGGACCCAAGTAGACTGAGGTTCTTTTGCTTCTAGCATGTTCTTATAAATATTTTTATTTAAACAAATTAAAAGTAACTCACCTGTTTCTTAAAATTAAGATAGTAAAGATTCCCTGGGAACAGTGAATGTATTTCTATATCAACAAAGAGTGAGAGTCCACTCTGGTCAATCCAGAAACTTCTCTTTTATTCTTCATATAATTTAGAGCTTCATGTATTTAAGCCACTTCTCATTGGAAGGAGAGACAAATTAAAAACAAAATTTTATTGGGGGCTCGTACAATTTTTATCACGACCCATCCATTCATTGTGTCAAGCACATCTATACATTTGTTGCCGTCATCATTCTCAAAACATTTGCTTTCTACTTGAGCCCTTGGTATCAGCTCCTCATTTT